CAGAAACACCTTAGAGGACAAGGTCGAAGGACCCCGTGGGCCTTCCAAGCCTGTCCGTCCGTCCGTCTTTTCAAGGGAGCAGAGCCGTGACTTTCTCCAGAAGAGCGGTTAGTGGATTCCCACAGCCCACCTGCTTGTGAGAAGCCAGCGCTTTCATCGCTGAGCCACCTGAGCTCCTTGACATACCAACCAACCAAATGAAACCAAGCCAGCGTCGCCGAGCCCATCACGACTCCTATGGACCCTTTATCGGCTCCTACCTAGGCTGTAAATCTTTGAGAGCCCACAGCATCCTCTTTCCACTGACCTTGTGGTTCGCATGCCAACTCTCCCTCTCTTTCTCCCTCAGTCGACAGAGGTTTGCAAATTACGGGAGTGATGATGGCACTTTGTGTGATTGTTTGTAAAAATCATATGAAATCGAGTATGTGGTTCATTACCTGAGAGGGTAAGAAGTTACAAACGATCATTGCATTTAGGATGACTTAGCCGCTTCTCGGCCTTTTGGCTAAGATCAAGGGTAGAATTTAGGATGACTTGAGGTAAAATTAAAGAGCCAGAATGAGAAGGGAGAATGTGCTTTTTTACACCATTAAATCTCCAGCCCCTAGTACATAGTACAAATGCGCTAAGTAGCTAATGAATGAAGACAGGACCCTTTTAAAGCTGATTACTTTTTTATCGTTAGCATTACAAGGCTCAAGGAACCGATGGAATGCCAATGGAAATGTTTCAGTGAGCGGCCACAGCACTGAAAGCACTCACTCATGGATGCCAAGAAATTGGGAAGACAGCTCCTTGGACACCCAAGTAGGAGAGATCCATAGTTATGCCCATTCCAAAGAAAGGAGCCCAATAGAATGTGGAAATTATCAAGCAATATAATTAATATCACATCCAAGCAAACTTCTCCTGGAGCTATTCCAACACCAGCTGCAGCAACACCTCAACAGGGAGCTGCCAGAAATTCAGACGGGATTCAGAAGAGGACCGGCCCAAGGGTATCACCGGTGATGCCAGATGGATCTTGGATGAACACAGAGAATACAAGAAAGCTGTCTACTGGTATTTTCTTAATATGCAAAAGCCTTTGTTCAGATCATAACAAACTATGGATAACATTGAGAAGAATGGGAATTCCAGAACACTTCACTGTATAAAACCTGGACCTGGACCAAGGGATGTCGCTGGAACAGAACCAGGGAGCACTGTACGGTTTGAAACCAGGAAAGGTGCCTGTCCCCTTTCACCAATCCACTGTGTGCTTTTACTCGCTTTGTATACAGAGCAAATCTTCTGGGAAACTGGACTATATGAAGAAGAACGCAGCATCAAGATTGGAGGAAGGCTTATTAACAACCTGCAATATGCAGATGTCACAACCTTGTTTGCGGAAAAAAGGGGACTTAAAGCACATGCTGGTGTAGATCAGGGTTTCAGACTGGCAGCCCATGGGCCGCATGCAGCCCTGGAGGTAATTTTTTGTGGCCCGCGATGCTCTGAAATGAAATGAAAATAGAAAAAATTGTTATGAAGAAATAGCGCTTAGGGGAGATGGGGCAATACCGTACACACAATTCCCTCGTTAACCCTTTAACTATTGAAGATGAGTATGCACGTGGCCCAGTGCCTTTCCTGAGGGTCTGTGGACGTGTATAAACACCCTGACTCAGTTCCGGCGACGTTTGGAAGCGATGTGTCTGCCACTCTCAGTGTCAAGAAATGTAAACAGATCCCAATAGCAAAAAGGTTAAAAAGAGCATTCAGGGTTGTGCTCTTACGAATCATACCTAGCGGCAGCGCTAGGTAACATTTTTAGAGGGAAGCCATTACGATTGTGCATCACGTTTGTCAGCTGTCTAACATTTTGTGGTTTTTATTAGTTACTTTGTTACTTTCCGGTCATAACATAAGAGGTAAGTGAAAACTAG